CCCGCCCCCAGTGTGTTACTTTAATCTTTAAGTTTTTGGCATTTCATGCCTTTTCTTTTAAAAATATTATAAAGGGTGAGGGAAACATTTCTTTATACAGAGTAGTCTACATCCTGAATGAATATAAGAGAGATCTTCTGTTTGAGAGCATCCATGGGCGATTGACACAACCTTTTAGATTTATGGGGGGCTGACTATGGAAAGGAAGTTTCATTAACAGCAGCAGACATGGCAGAAGTGGAAATGGTGGTCTATTTTTAAATTTCCTCTGTGTTTGCTTTGAATTCATCTGCTTATCTAATCGCTGTCTGTGTTCACCAAGCCACCAGGCAGTGTGGTACTTGTCAGACTCATCAAACTCATTTCAGGGAGAAAGCTCTTCAGTTCCCTGGAGGAAGATTTTAAGGAATCCAGGGTTTATTAAAAATGGAAGGATGAAGAGAGGTAGGTTAGTTACACAACAGTGCTTTCAGATTAGAAACGGGAACTGACAGCTGTGGCTAGAACTCTTCACTGATGGAAGTTTGGGAGCTGGAGCCTACTGAGAATGGGTGTTTTACTTAGTGAAAGTTACCTGTGGTGTGATGCTTGAAGTTTAGGTTCTATCTTGTGGCAGCACTTAGGGATGTGGGGTCAACTGGTGTTGGACATGCACTGTTTAGAGCATAAATTAAAAAAATCTTGCCCTAACTGGTTTGGCTCAGTGGATAGAGTGTCGGCCTGTGGACTGAAGAGTCCCAGGTTCGATTCCGATCAAGGGCATGTACTTTGGTTGTGGGCGCATCCCCAGTAGTGGGTGTGCAGGAGGCAGCTAGTCGATGTTTCTCTCTCATGGATATTTCTAACTCTCTATCCTTCTCCCTTCCTCACTGTAAAAAAATCAATGAAATATATTTTAAAAAATCTTACTCAGACATACCTTGTTTGTTGAGTTATGTGATTAATTAGTTTTTTTGGTTGATGTTCTCATGATTCCCAAAACAGTTTTAAGTCAATGAGCAATCTTCTCCCGCCCCGCCAGTACTTTCTGCTGGTGACTGAAGATATAGACCAAGGTGGGGTCTGCAGTGCCGAGGTGTAGGACTGACTGGCAAGTTTACTTACCTGGCACCTGGCTTGAGCTAGCCAAGACATGCCAGGCGGGGTGGTGTCTTCTTGGTGGAGCTCCCTTCCCCACTGCTCAGTGTGGGGGGCTGAATTCAGATGAGGATGTTGGTTTTCCTGCCCCACGCCACCCTGGTACGTGGCATGATTTCTGATACAATAGGTAAAAACCTTTATTTCCTAGAGCTACAGGCAGAAGCCACGGCCAATCCCAGTCATAAAAGAGTCATGTAAAAAGGAGTGTACTTCCCAAAACTTTTTCAGTGATGCTCAGGTTTTTGATCCTGCATTAGGATTAGGATTAGGATTTGGTTTAGTGGGTCATCTCTGAGTTTCCTTTAAAGTCATGAGATACTGTGATAATAACCAGTTTATTCAGTTTTTGCTGCTACTCTATCATTATTTCAGATATTTAAGTCAGGAAAGCACAATTTAGTTGGTGCTTTAAATAAATACCTTCATTACACCTTCCTAATTAAAGCAATTCTCCTACTAAGACCCCCAATTAAAAAGAATCTTTATTTTTTACAAGTGATTTGAGAGAATTCCTGACCCAACTCAGAAAGCCCTTGTAAAGAAAAAATGAAGTTATTATTTTATGACTTATTGTCTTAGCAAAATAAGGGCTATTTGTTTTTTAAAGCCATTTCTGTGTCTGCTCTTTCAAATTTTTTTTATTTGGTTCTTTTAGATTTTCAGTCTAGAGAGAAGTTATTCTGAGCTGGCTGAATTAATTTTGAAACAGTTGAATTATTTAAATTCCATTCTGGGGAAGAGGGAGTACTTGTCTTTAACATCCAAAATTAACATCCGCTTGCTGTGTGAAATCTGGAACCTGGAACTATTAGGCAGTGTCTGGGAACTGTCAGTGCCAGATCCCCTGCACCTGAGCTGTCAGCATCTAAAGCTTCTTCCAGATCCGTCATTTTAACCTGCAGAATTTTAACATCAATCATATGCTTTTCAGTGCACCATGATCTACTAGCCTTTTCCTAAGTAGCTCTGTTTGGTATAATTATTATTTGTATAATTTGGGTAATAGCTTGGGAATGGAAAATTCACTTTTGGGTGCAGTACCGGCTCTTCCTTTTGTGGCTGTGCTGCCACAGAGATGCTTAACAAAAGCAAAGAGGAAAGAGCCTACTTGTCTATGTGGATTCAGCAAGTAGAGAATATTTACCAATGCCAAAAGATCATTCGTTAATAGATGGCTTTTGTGTTTTGTTTTAGACTCACAAGAAGTTGATGAACAGCTGATAGCAGAAGTGGTTGCAAAATGTTCTTCTGAGACTCATTCTAGACCCTCAGAAAATGAGGTTTCACAGCAGGCTATTGATTCTTACTCAGTCACGGATTTCAAAGAAAAACCTGAACACGATAGTAGCAAAATTTCAGTAGTGAGGCCATTTTCAATAGCAACCAAGTCCACGGATAACTCAGAGGCAGCTCTTGGGACAGAAGCAGCATATGGCGGTGTAACTGCCATCTCAGGCGAGGCTCTGCCCTCCAGCCCGCCAGAAGCCATCCAGGACAAGGCGATGACAGAAAGCACCATGGGGGTTACACTGGAGGCTTCCACAGAAGCTGACCTGAAGAGTGGGAACTCCTGTCCGGAGCCAGTGCCCAGCAGAAGCAAGCTGAGAAAGCCCAAACCCATCTCTCTGAGGAAGAAAACAGTTGGCGAGTTCTCAGAAACTTCCAAGGAGGGCATGCCTCTCCCCCAGGCATCCTATCCTGATGAAATGGATGGGAACACAAGTCCTTTGCTAGGAGATGCCAGGACTCAGAAATCTGCCCCTGACGTTAGGGAAACAAGCAGCACACCCAGTAGTGACACCAATGATTCCGGGGTGGAGCTGCTGGAGGAGTCAAGGAGCTCGCCTCTGAAGCTGGAGTTCGATTTCATAGAAGATGTGGAAAATGTAGAGTCCAGGAAAGGCCTTCCAAGAAAACTTGGCAGGAAACTGGGTAACAAACTGCCTCCAAAGGTACAGAAAGATGGCATCAGTAAGCCAGGAGGCACTAAAGGTTCGGAACCGCCCCCGGACCAAGCCACAGACGATGCCTCTCTCTCCCAAGCGTCTTCTAAGCAGAATCCCAGTTTCAGTCCCCTGGGTGGCCAGTCCACACTGCAGGACTCCCCTCCCCTCTCCTCTAAGGGATCCTACCGCTTTGATGAACCCACGGATCCCTTTAAACCAACTACAGCTTTAGCAAATGGTGACTGTTGTTCTCCTGCTGGTAATCATGTTAATGAAAACTTAGAATCACCCAAGAAGGCAAAGTCGCGTTTAATAACGTGAGTGATGAGGGGTGTGGGTGTTGTGTTCTGTGTACACTCTGAAAGTTTGGCAGCCGGCTGCTGTGGGTTTTGGTGATCTGGAGTTATCTTTGAGGTGCAGGTGGGCAGACGCAAAGCTTACGACTTCATATTGCAGTCTTCACTGTTTTAAAGCAAACTTTTGTGTGGAATCAGATACCAGAGGTTTCCTTTTTCAATGGCTGCCTGGTTTATGAATCGTCAGCTTATTCAACTGAGCTCTTTCCCCACCCTACCCCACTCCCTCCACCCCCACTTTTGGTACTTTTGTCCTGTTTAACAAGATAGGCAGGTAGAGATTTGATGGTTTTCAAAAAACTCATCTGGGCTGTCAGGAATTGCTTTACTTACAGAATTCAAGTGATATGCTAACCACCATCTTCAGATTCTCTATGGATAAAACAAAAATTCCAAGCCTACAGATTAACTGTCTAGTGTCAAGAACTTGTAGAAAGTGGTCCAAAAGGGTCTTATAGAAGTTTTTCACTTAAAACAGAAAGCTGTGATTTTTGTTGGAAACAAACCACTGAAAGTTGGGGAGAATTCTTATGTCTTTATGGTTAGCTTGTGGTTCCATCAGCAAGGAGGTGAATTTCCAATAAGAATCAGGAATATTTTAAACGATGACAGAAATCTGACTAGACTTTTGTTGTGTGTTGTGACACCACCCCTACCCTACCCCTTGCCCTGGGAAATCTAGAGCCACTTTTGCAAGCTCCTTGGAGTTTTCAGAGTGATGACCTCAGGCCACAGTCCATGCCAAGTTTCAGGTTAAATTTGTTATAGGGTTCCCTTATCACAAAACTAAGTAGTGACAATGTACCCCTTTGTGACACTGTGGCATTTTGCTAAAAATTGAATATAAGAGAGACCAGTGACATAGAAGATGAAGTATGAAAAGGGAAGTTGAGAAGAAATATCATGTTTTTAATTGTCACCATAGATCATTAGGGAAGAAATTTTTAGTATTACTATGACTTCAAGAAAAATGCTGGATGGTGTGGTGTATTACACTAAAGGGAAAGGTTTAAAGAGCAGAAAGTATCAATCCGGACGAAGAAGCTCGAGCAACGTAGGAATCAGTTCTTCCGCAACTTCAGAATATCTAGGGGAAAAAGATGTCAGTAATACTTGCTGATCTGTTCTCTGATTATATATGAGCAGTTAAATGGTTGCTGAAAAAGATGATCGATCAGGTGTCCTCAAAGTGCTCTTCTGTGTCTAAGGTTAGTTACTGTTGTCAAGACAGTGCTTGGGGTATGTGTTGGACATGTCATTGCCTTGGTGCTTCCTGATATGGGTATCCTATATATGGGGTGTCTCTGCCCAGCAAGGTTGATAAGTCATTTCATTTGGGCGCCTTCCTTCCGACATATGTTGAAGGCATGTAGCCATTGCATTCATGTTAGATGAAATTAGATCAAAGGGAAGGAAATTGATCCTACACCTTATTTTCCGTAGCAAGAAGCACCCTCTCTTGAGTCCTACCACCCTCACCTGGTAGCATTGTCCTCCTATTCTGTTTTTGGTGAATGGACTTCTTGATCTAATAATATACCTTATAGATTTTTAAAAAATTCTATGCAATCAAAACTCTTGCCTCTGAGAAGGGTGCTTGACCTTTGTGTAACTGGGATTTTATTTAGCAAAACCCTATTGGTAGGAAAGACTGAAAATATACATGTGGTGGTAGAATCTAGTTGGAGAGTTAGAAGTTCTGTTAGCAGGGTACTTGTGTGACTTTTTAAAAGATGTATGTAATTGGTGTCTCAGATTCTTCTATGAAATGGAGACATCATCCTATGATTAGGATTTTTGTGGACCAAATAAAGTATGAAAAATCATTTTAGGTGTCTAGTGACACACACCTACAGCAGATAGAAGCAGATGTATCTTCGACTTTATTTTTATTCACGCATTGCCTTAGCTGACTAGACATTTAAGAGTAAATGTGTTCAGCAGTGAAGTGCTTATTTTTTCATCTATAAGCTTGAGTATGTGGCATTTCTGAATGCTTCTATCACTCTTACTCATTACAGATGAGATTCCTGACAATCATTCACTCACCAGTGATAACATTCATAAATATGACATTTTAAATTTGTATCTCACCTCATGGAAGGAACTTTGCAGCCTTTACATCTACCAGACTAGAGATAAATATTCCAGGCTTTACATGATTTTTTTCTCCATCTGTCTGTCTCTTTCCTGTTTCTCATTTTGTTGGTGCCTCAGGACTACTGAACAAGTGAAATTTCTCTGTTTTCTGTTGTAAGTACCCCTACTGTGGTTTCTGTTTGTCCCTGGGACTGTTGGCAGTTCCTCTACCCTCCTCCCAGACCACCTCTCCATAGCATGTTGGCTTCCGGTTCTGAGTTTGACCTTCTGATTATTTTTTGCATTTCATTTGCCACTTCATGAGTCAGCTTAGCCTTGTGATTGTCTGTACCCGAAGGAGTGGCGATCGGCCTTCCCACCTGAGGTGCGTGAGCTTGCGCTCCCTGCCTTGGCACGCCTGTGTGGCGCTTTGATACCGAATGCTGGCTTGGCCCCAGAGATCATCTGGCAGTGGTTTCAGGCACTGCTCTGCTATTTAATGTTGGAAATAATTGGCTTTCATGATAGGATAAGGCTGCTGGGTTGGAGCAGGGGATAAAATGGAGACATCATACTATGATTGGAATTCTTGTGGACCAACTTGAGTTTGGCGGCAAGGGGTGGCACTCAAGCATTAGGAAAGAAAATCATGAGCCAGATAGTGGTTGTGCACGTTTTGGTAACGTATACTCTTGCCTTTTTTTGTTTGTTTCCCCACACAAGAAAAAAAGTTGCAAATTATTATTTTTTTTTTTTTGTCAGAGTTGCATTACTGGAAATTTTAAGTTCATTCAAACAAGAGAATTTGAACTAGTCTTTGGATCGCAAATTATGCGCTAGTTTAAATAACTGTTGGTTTGAGTTTTCCCTGGTTCCAGCCATAACATTCTTTCCATCTTACTACTTAATAGGAATGGTAATAGTTTACACATATATTTTCCTTTTGATACTTTCTGTTAACCCCAGTTCTACTTTGTTAGCACACATGTCCGGAGTTGTCTCATTAGACTTCTATGGCTTTTAGTGCAATAAAGGATTTTTAAAGAATCTAGTCCAGCGTGGTAATTTTTCTAATGAATGCCAAAGCCCAAGTGAGTCAGGATCAGATGAACTGAATGTCTCTGCTAAGGTGCTCTCTCAAAGGCTGTGGTGGTATGTAATGGAAAACTCCTCCTCTTGAGGAGGTCTTTTCGGAGAATGAATTGACTGTAGTTCTTTGCTTGGCCCGTCTCTCCAGAGAAGATTCAGAGATGTAAAAGCCGCTCCCATCTCTGACATGTAGATGTACGACTTGTGTGGTGCTGTATGCCTTGGCTTCTATCTGCACACACTGCTCTCTCTGCTCCATCTCTCAGCTAGGAAGTTGTCAGTGAGATTCCCAACCAGCTTGGTTAATTTGTTTTTCTTTCAGGAGTGGCTGTAAGGTGAAGAAATACGAAACGCAGTCTCTTGCTTTGGATGAGTGTTCACAGGTAAGTCTGTCTATCACCAGAACATCTCTTAGACCAGTGGTCCCCAAACTACGAATGCATCACCCCACCCCCAGGGTGGGGCATGGTGGTTAATGGAGACTTCCCACTGGGTATTGGAATATTCAAATTTAAGAGAACCAGCATCCTAAACTAATCTGAAAAGGCCTCTCAGGACCAGGAAACCCTTTCACAATTCCCCCTTCCCCACTATTTTATGGTTCACTCTCACCCATTTGAAATCACCACTGGCTGTGAAATCTCTGGGACACCAAACAAAGGGGAGATTGAAATATTGATGTAGGTTTTAAGGAGGTGATTGATTCCAGTGAGCGGATAATGTTTTTTTAAAGTCAGATGATTGCCCTGACCGGTTTGGCTCAGTAAATAGAGCGTCGGCCTGTGGACTGAAGGGTCCCGGGTTCGGTTCCAGTCAGGGGCATTGTACCTTGGTTCCGGGCACATCGCCAGTGGGGGGTGTGCAGGAGGCGGCTGGTCAATGTTTCTCTCTCATCGATGTTTCTGACTCTCTATCCTTCTCCCTTCCTCTCTGTAAAAAATCAATAAAAATATTAAAAAAAAAAGTCAGATGATTTTCCAACTCATCACTTTCAACCAAATAGGAGAACCTGAGTTGATGGAAGTGAAGTAGACTGGGAAGTGCAGGTTCAGAGAGGAAAAGGAATGATGTACATTTCTGACTATTAAAGAGGTTGTTCGTGTCCAATTTTAAATACACTGTAGGATATCAAATCATTAGAATAATTACATTGAATTAAGCATGGTAGTATTTAAACTACATTAGATATTATATCCTTCAAAATTATTTAAACTGATGCTGAACAGTTTTTAGATGGCACTTGGGAATACAGTGGGGTACATAGATTTTTTTTTGGTTTAATTTAGGAGGCTATGAGCAGAATATTTGAAACCACTGCCTTGGACCACTGAAACTTCTTTCTCATAAATTTAGGTTAGAGAAGGTTAATTTGTCAAACCTCAGATTTAAAGCAGAAAAGCTAGGTGCTAGAAAAAGGCAACATTCTGTGATTGAAGGACTCTAGCTTCTTCCTTCATCTGTACTCAGATCTGTGGTTAACTCTAAGCAAAGTGGCTGCTG